GGGCGCTCGCTCGGCCGCCGACTCGCACACACGGCCTGCGCGCCGCCCCGCCTCTCACGCGCCCGGAGCTCGGCCGCCGGCCGCGCTGGCTTCACTCACACTGTCCCTCGCACGCCGCGCGGAGGGAGGAAGGGGGCGGTCCGGCTCCCGAGGCCTGGGGAGGGGTGTTTATTTGGGGGGAGGAGGAGGGGCTCGAGGCAGGAACGAGCTGACTGGCCGGGATCCTCCGACCCGCCACTGTGGCAGCACCGGGAAGGCGGGGAGAGAGAAAGAAGGAGGGAGGGCCCGGGATCTGGGACTCCAGCCCGCGCGGGAGGCTGTGGCGAAGGGGGCGGTGGCCGCGGCGGCGGCGGCGGCCGCCGAACCCGCTGAGGGGGCGGGGCTAGCGCCCCTCGGCAATCTCCGGCGTCACTGCTCCGGGCGCCCGAGGGAAGCCGGGAAGCGGTCGGGGCAGTTCGGGAATCTCCGGCGCGCACGAAAGCTTGTCCTGGAGGCACCTCGCGGCTGGAGTCCCGGGAGGGCGGGGTCTGTTCTCTTTCGAGGCGGGGCCACCGCCTGAGGTGGGCGGGGTTGGGGAGGCCCGAGGTACGGGTAGCGAATTCCACTTGCAGGACTCGTTGTGCAGAGAATGGTGACCTGAGTTCACCCATCTGGAAACGTTGGCTCCCAGGGAGTGAAGGGACACTCTGGCAAAGGTCTCTTTGTCGGCTTGCTCTTCAGCAGAGAAATAGCTCAAGTTAGATCTGCAAGGTCCAGGAATAAGATCATCCCTGTATATGAGCTCTGAGAGCTTTTGTTCTAATTATTATCATTATCACGTTTCTCATCACCATTCAATTAATTGATGCTTCTAAGAGCTTTACAAGGTTCAATGGCCTAGTGGTAAGGAACTGAGTAGCCAACCAAAGGCACGTGATTGGAATCCACCAGCTGCTCCTTGGGAGAAAGATGGGCAATTGCTGCAATTTACAGCCTCTGAAAACTTACACTTCTTCTGGTTTCTGGAGGGTCAGCTCTGAGTTGATGCCAACTCGAAGGCACAAACAAAACAACAACAAAAGAGCTTTACAGTTTGCTCAGCGTACTCTCACACTGGTTTTGAGACTGTTGACACAAACTGAGTAAATGCCAGGATCTCCTTTTCACTGGTGAGGGAGCTTGGTAATGTCTTGCAGCTATAAAGTGACAGATTCACTGCAGTGGAACAGACAAAGGAAAAAAATTGTTTAAAAGGAATATATGATTAGGCACTATTTGTGTGACAGCAGTCCAGAGTAAGAGGTGCATTGCAAAGTGGATGGGGTGGGGAAGGAGAGGAAATTGTGCAAGAGTGATTTTTTAAAAAAAGATGAACTGGAGAAGGGAGGAAAATGTGCAACAATGAATGAATGGAAATCCACCTTTTCTGTAAACTTTTGTTAAAATCACACACAAAAAAAATCTTACTCTTCAAAACAACAACAAAAAAAAAGTGACAAATTCAGATCTCAGGACACCTGAATCTATTTTCTTTTTCTACACCTTGCTACCTTTCTTGTTCTTTTTTTTTTTAAGATAATTTTTATTTATTTATTTATTCTTTTTATGTGTGTACTGTCAAATTGGATCTGACTGGTACAGGAGGTGATTGTTCCTCCTTCTTAAGCAGAGCATGTGGTGGATTTGAACCGCGCACCTCTGGGATTGCAGTGCAGTCTGTTCTTGTTATGTGTTCTCGAGTTGTTATGTGCATCATGTTGTTATGTGTAACCCTCGGTACATCAGCCCTAAATCCTGCCCTGTCCTGTGCCAATCTTATTATTTCCAACACACATACTCTCATTACTCCAGTCACTGAATAAATCCATCTTATTGAGGGTCTCCCACTTTTGCACTGTCCCTCCGCCCTCCTAAGCATGACGTCCCTCTCAAAGGACTGGTCCTTCCTTGCAACATGGCCAAGGTATGTCAGACAAAGCTTCAGAATCCTTGCCTCCAAGGAGCAGCGTGGGTTCACCCTCTCTAGGATGAATCTGTTTGTTCTCTTAGCAGTCCATGGTATATTCAATACTCTTCTCCAACACAATAGCTCAAAGGCATCAATTCTCCTTCTGTCATCCCTAGTCATTATCCAGCTTTCTGATGCCTGAGTAACACTTTATTGCTTATTGACCTGGTGTCATTAGAGATATCCACAATGTTGCTGTGTTTGTTAGGTGCCTTTGACCCACATATAACTCATAGCGACCCTATGAACAGCCAACCTGAACGCTGCCCTACACTGTGCCATCTTCATCATCTCTGACACAGAGTCCATTGCTGAAGTAAGTAATTTTATCAGTCCATCTCCATGGGGATCTTCCTCTCTTTTGCTGACCCTCCATCTTTCAAAGCATGATGTCTCTTTCCAGGGAATAGACTTTCACAGCTGCATGTTCAAAGTATGAAAGACAAAGCTTCACCATCTTTGCCTCCAAGAAGCACTCTGGCTGCATTTTTACCAAGACATATATATTCCCTTGGCCATCTATGAGATAGGCAGTACTCTTCTGCAGCACTATAAGTAACAGCTATCAATCTTCTTATGTCATTCTTATTTATTGTCCAGCTTTCTGATGTATAGCAGGTAATTGAGAAGACCAGACAGCTGGTGAGCTGTGTCTGTTCACTCAAGTTTTCTGTCTTGTATGTTGTATAGTACAAGGATATAAGGGAATTGCATGCATGGCATGGATTCTAGGTTTGGTCCCACTAACTAGCTTAGACAAGCTATTTCATCTCTTGGGACACTAGCTCTATGATTTCTAGAATGAGATCATTTAGATCAGTAGCTCTCAAATGAATAGAGTGGAAGGACCACTCGTGCCCAACCCCAGCCCTTCCACCCCCCAGCAAACATTTTTTAATATTGGGAAATATTTTTGATTGTTAACTGAAAGTTGTTGCTGGCATCCAGTGGGAGGCGGGGGGTGTTGTTATGTGCCATAAAGTGGCCTGCAACTCATAGCGACCCTATGTACATTAGTTCTGAAACTGCTCCATCCTGTGCCAGTCTCATCATCTCTGCCAGATCTAATCCCATTGCTCCAGTCACTGAGTCAATCCGTCTCATTCTGGGTCTTCCTCTTCTGTGCTGTCCCTTTATTCTTCCAAGCATTATGTCCCTCTCCAAGGACTGTTTCCTCCTGGCCACATATTTGAGATGGAGCCTCAAAGGTGGTCTTGCCTCCAGGGAGCAAACTGGTTTCATCTCTCCAGGACAGACCTGTTTGTTCTCCTGGCAGTCCATGACAGTCTTCCCCAGTACCACAACTCAAAGAGGGTAGAAGCCAGAAATGTCACCCAGCATGCTACAATGAAAGTACCTACAACTATTATTACTACAATTATTCAGCCCAAAATCTCAATAGCACTGAGGTTGGAAAAACTTGGGGTGAGGTAATTTCCAAGTGGGCCTATTATTGTTGTTATGTGCCATCGAGTTGCTTGTGACTCATAGCGACCCCATGTACAACAGCCCTGAAACCTCTATCCTGTGCCAACTTCACTGTCTCTGACAAACCGACCCTCATTACCCTAGTCACTGAATAAATCCATCTCATAAATGGTCTCCCTCTCTTTCTCTGT